GCTACACAGAGAAACCCTGTCTCAAAACACCAAAAAAAAAAAAAAAACAACCCGGGGGGGGGGAAGCAGAAGCCCAGAAAGCTGAAGGACTTGTTAGGGTCACATAACTCAACCTGTCAGTCTACCTTAAACGCTAATAGAGTCTCTAAGGAGACAGGCATGTGTCATCCATGAAGAACCAGGGAGGAGACTTTGGCCCAGAGCCTGGATAAGAACAGAGGCTCACGGGTATAGTGGCTAAAAGTTAAGTTCTCAAAGTAGAGAATGGTAAGGCCCCAAGGTTCAGGAAGGATGACAGAAGGGAGGGAGACAGAGGGCTAAGGCGTGGAGAAAAGGCAAATCCAAAGTTCTTCAGCTTCTCGGAGGGCAGGATAGACACCACTATTCCTGTCTGCTTCCTACAAGACTGGGGAAGCCAGGGCTACAGCCTCTTCTCCTTTATCCACAGGACTTTCTCTTTCCTTTCAGGAAGAACCCTGGATGTGCACATTCTTTGGGAATATCCTGAATAAACAAATAAATGAGCCTAGAACTGCAAAAAATGAACATGGCCACTTTGGGCTCTGGACCTCCACTGCGTCTAACTCTGTGACTACACCTCGCTGAGGTGGTTTCCTTACACGGTCAAGCTTCATTATTCAGATTCCATACGCCTGGATTCATCTGGTCGCTACATTCACCTGTAACCACAAGACCAAGTCTTGTGTCACTTTTGCAATTACTCACAGAGGATGTACACACAAGTTAAGGTTCTAAGTGCCTAACATACATTTCCAGCTGAGGTCTGTGGAGTAGGACTTTCTGCCCTCAGAAACGTGTTTTAGCTCTTATAAATCAATGTTTTCCAGGCAGTCTAATTACAATCAGTAATTTGCATTCGAATTTTTTAGGTTTTTTTTTTTTGGTTTGGTTTGGTTTTGGTGTTGTACTTGTTGTTGTTGTTGGTGGTGGTGTGATGATGATGATGGCCCAAGTAGCCCCCGCTGTGCTGAATATTATCTAATTCACTCAAGAAAACTGTGATATATTTAGAGGAAGTGTTTGTGTTAAATAAACCAATTTCCCTTGGCATTTCTGCCCCCTTTTCTTTTTTTTTTTTTTTTTTTGTTTTCTTTTATTGAGGCAGGATTTCTCTGTGTAGCTTTGGCTGTCCCAGAACTTGCTTTGTAGACTAGGATGGCCTCAAACTCAGAGGTCCATCTGTCTCTGCCTCCCAAGTGCTGGGATTAAAGGCCTGTGCTACTATACCTTGCTTTAGTATTTGTTAACTCAGTGTTTAGGGTGACTTTGTAAACTTCCAACTACAGACTGAGAATTGACTTATCAATTAATCTTATCAATTAATCTTATAGTTAAGACTAATATTAGAATCTTTGCATAGGTCTGTGGTGGGATTCAATAGAATCGTATTTGTGAAGTACTAAGCTTAGTGTCTGGCACACAGTAGGTGCTCAGTAAACATTCTTAGTATTGTTAATGTGGATGAACTTAAAACAAAACAAGTCATTTGTTTCCATCTACCAAAGTTCCTTTCACCAAGGGACCACAATGGTTGCTGGGCTCTTGGGCTAGACTTCATGAAGAGATTGTGAGGAAGTCATAGCTATGGCTGGGTGGGGGATGGGGCAAACCTGTAACAAAGAGCATCACCCTTAGGCAGGCTTCATATGTCATAGAGATCTCAGTTGCTTGGCCAGCAGAACCCCTCAGGAGCTCTCTGCAGTCATGGGGCCTTCTCAGCTTGTTCGTGCCCCTCGGCCTCGGGGCATGAGTTCTCCCTACCGAAGGCCAGGTATGGGTGGGCCCAGGCGCCGGTGTCCCAAGATGTTCAAGTGTAGCCGCAGAACATACCGGCAGAAACCTCGAGGCCCAACTGCCACCGATCCTGCCTCTGTGGCCACAAACATCAGTGACACGGACACTACCACCAGTGTGTGGATCCTGTCACCTCAAGGTTAGTGGGGGAGTATGGAGGTGGAGAATCTGTGACTTAGGGTGGGGATTTGAAGGATAGAAGCATTCTGTCCTGCTTATGTACTCTAAAGGACAAACTGTGAAACTCCACCCCAAGCGCACAGCCAGGTTTAAAAGGTACAGGTCATCAGACGGTGAGGGCTTGAGTGGACAATCTCAAGACCGGGCTGAGGTAGAGGGCCTGAGGGGGATGGGTGAGTTCAAGTGCCAGTGGGGTTTTCACAAATGCCTGTTTTTCTTTGGTGTGCATGTACACATGTATACATGCATGTGTGCATGCATGTGTAAGCCAAAAGACATCCACCTTTTTTTGGAGACATTAGCCTAGACTTTGTCAAGTAGGTCAGGCTGGCTGGCTAACAGACAGAAGGGGTCCATGTGTCTCTGCCTCCACAGTGCTGGCATTGATCAGCGTGTACTATCATGCCCAGCTTTCTCATCTGGGTTCTGGATTGACCTCGGATCCTTAAAAGACTAACATTTTACTGCCTTATCTGTCAGCCTTCACATATGCCTTTTTTTTAAATACTCTTCCTTCTTTTTTTCTCTTTAGTTCTCAGACACCTCTGTCAACCTAGGGGCTTTCTGATCCTCTAGAAACGCCCAGAAGCTTGGCCTGCACTTGACCTGCTGCTCCAGAGGGCTGTTGGTGGTGGACAACAAATACAGCCAATCTGCTTAAGCTGTCTTACCCCATTCTGAAGTGTTCCAACTATGCAGGACATGAGAGTAGAGTTGGGGTGGGTCTGCGTAGGGATCAACTTAAGAGACAGCAGCAAGGATCTCTGTGATCCAGAGTGAAGTAGAGGGACAGGGCAAGGTCAGCCAGACAAACCCATCTTTGTCCTCAGCATTTTGATCTGTCCTGTGATAAGGGGCTCTCCTGCCTTACACTCCCATGGGCAGGAGGCGTCTTGGAAAGAATAACAAGGCACAGATAAGAGAGCAGGTGAAAGACAGAACCCCACGAGTGTTCTAGAATGGGGTATGCTGGTACTGGTCAGTGTGTAGGTGTGGCTGCTCGCTGTGACGGAATGGGAACATTATGGCACATGTGGCTCGTGTGCCTTTATGATCTAATGTGCTTCAGCTGTCAGCTGTGAAGTCGAGGAGTGCTCCAGAGGGCAGAGGCAGACCGTAATGGCATTGGCTCAGCTGAGAATGAAGGTCAGCAGGGGGAGGGGGCAGCCTGCAGGAAAAGGGGTGTTCAGAATGGTTAGTGTATGAGGAGAACATGTCACCTTCAGCCCCCCAGCCATCCTCTGAGGTCAGCATTTTCCAGGACTGCCAGCTGAGCTGGGGCACTTGGGGGTGGGGCAAGACTGAGTTTGAGCCCAGGAAAAAGGGAGGGTGTTGCATTCTGTCTGGCCTGGGAATTTTCCATTTGGATTTCTGAATGCATGCCCATGTGTCATCGGGTTTAAATAGGTTTTCATGAGGTTGTGTCTAGTGGTAGTAACATTGTGAGGGTCTTTGTCTCTAATGTGTTTATTAGTTTATGGGCTAGTGTGAGAGTCGGGGGTAGGGATGGGGGTAATCCCTAAGACCTTTGGTGGCCTATCCTCTGGGGTTTAAGAAGTCTGGCTAACATCATTTGCCTCTTGTGAGAGGAAAACTGAGTTAAGTATGTCTACTCAAAGCTTGCCAGAGTGGGGGATCCTTAGGGGAGGGCTGGGGCAGGCAGTTCACAGTTACACTGGTTCTCGAGTGTGCTGGGCTCCTCCATCAGCTAGAAGGTGGTTGGACTGGTCAACAAGGGGTTCTGTACATACAAACACATGACATAGTCCACAGACAAATATAGAGATGTAAATATAAGTAACTCACAGGTATATAACAGGTATATAAAAAGCAAATGTATGGATCCAGGTACATGGATCTATAAACAGAGATCACCACTAACAAGAATCCAATAGATACCCAGCCACCCCTTTGCAGGAAACATGCCCCTACACGGACATAAACATACATACACCACATACAAGTTCACAAGAATACAGTCACAGGCACATGAAATCATACTCATGCAAACTCAGACACGAATAGACACACTCACCAGACTTCCCTGCCTTTCAGCTCTGAGGCCCAGATTCCTCCCCCCTCAATATCATTGTATGCACTGTGTGCATACATGCCTTTGCTTATGTCTCTGTGTATCTGTGTCTTTGAGTGTGTGTGTTTCTATGTATGTGTATGAGGGGGTTGATAAGCAGAGGGAACTCGATGACATCATCTCTTCTAGCTATTTTTAGCTCCATCTGCAATGACTTCTCCTCCACTACCCCTCCTCCTCCAGGTTCCAAATTCTCCTCCCCCTCCAGGCTCTCAGAGATAGCAACAGCCAGAGAGTACCCACTCCTTCAGTTTAGGTGGTCTGCTGCATGATTGGATGCAAGTCACCGGCTCTCACCCAACCAGAGTTCTTTGGAGGCTGAGGACTGAGCTATTCCCAGAATTGGAGGAGGGGGCTTGAGCTGAGGGGCAATCAGAGCAGGTGCCTGAGTTAGATATGAATGGACCTGGCTGGCTTGCCACTCCTCCGGTGCCTGTGCTTGGCCTGTAGTGTCAGTGCTTACTGTGTTTAAGGGAGGTGTTCGTGTTGGAGATAAGACAGGTGAAGACAAAATGAGACATCTTCCTCAATGGGACACAGAACACTGGGAACCTGGCAGCTTCAAGGATGACGTCTGTCTCTCTCTCTCTTCTCTTCCATCTCCCAAAGGTTAGATAACATAAGGAATCTAGAGGGAGCACACACCCCCACCCCCTTCACTCCAGCTATTCTACCTAGAGATTTCCAGAAGCAATGCTTTCTCACTCCCTAGCTGTGCTCCCAACCTCCCACCAACCCACCCAGCAAACCATGGGCTCTCTGCTAGTCACTTCCGCTTTTAGACCCCTCCCAGAGTCTGCTCTGTGGGAAGGCCACTGCTCTCCATCTGGAGACTGAGAAGACTGAATCCTAGAGGGGTTAGCACTGGCCCACACCTTATGGTGCCAGGGGAAGCAGCCCAGGGGAGACGGTAAGCAGGTGGAGGAGGAAGTGGTGGCACACGGGACAGCTGGCACAGGTGCAGAAGGCACAGCCCATGCAGGGAATCAGGTGAGGGGGAGGAGACCGGTAGCCTGAGGGGTCCATGCCAGGAGGAGGGCTTCCTGTTCTAGCCAGCCTTGGGCAGCCACCGGAAAATCGGGTTTGGCAGCTTCAGCCTTGTGCTGTGCAGAACTGTTCTGCCGGAAGGGCTGGAGGAGGGGGTCCAGATTGCTCCTGGGAGGTGGCCTGGGGCACATCATCCTCTTCAGGAACGATGAAGTTCAGGGAACATTCTGAGATCTGGACTGGGGGCACCCCTGTTTTACCCTAAACCCTAATGTGATGCTTTAGTAGTCCTGGTTTCTTTCTTGGCCAGAGATTCCCCCACAGGAAGGGGCTTTTTGAAATCAGTTTTTCTGGGAGTCTGACTCAAGCTGGAGGACAAACAGTTAAAGGATAGGGTCTGGCTAAACCAGACAGTCCCTGGGGCAGGAGGCTGGAGTTCCCTTGTCACTAATGGTCAATCACCGGAAAACCAGCTCCAGGCCCACAATGCAATACTGGTCATTCCACCCTTACCAGTGCTCTTACCTACACCCCCACTTCAGGCCTCTGTTCCTTCCTCATCTCTGGGGAAGGCTACAGAACTCCCTAGGGAATCTCTGTGTTCCCTCCCCTGGCTCCTTGCCCCGTGCTTAACCTTCCCTCTCCGGTTACCCATTCAGCAACACCAGTCTCCCACTAAACTCTCTTCCACTGGACTCTGAGGCAAGTAGGAAGAAAGAACTGGAAAGAAGATGACTTTTCCTGCTGCTCTCAGGTTCTGGAGCTTAAATGTAACTAGGGTAGACTGAGTGCTGGGGTTTAGCACTAGGTTGCCCGTCGTCCCAGGAAGAATAGAAATCTCCGTTCCCCTAGCTCTCTTCTCCTCCTTCTTTTAGTGGAACCCACAGAAGATGGCCCAGAGTTGAGACTTGCAGCTTGTAGAAAATAAACACAAAAACCAAGGCCAAGCAGGTACTGGTTGTTGTTACCACATCAGCAACAACATTCATTAAACTCAAAAAAGATTGTAAAATTTTGGATTCATAAAGTACACAGAGTTTTCCTATAAAATGTTAGAGGCTGGATAATCTACTGAATCCCAGACTCCCCCCCCCCAAAGTTAAAATATGCTTAAATTAGAAGTTTAAGGTGTCAATGAAGTCCTGCAGTCATGTGGATGCCTAAGCCACATTTTCTGCCGCAGATGCAAGAAGCAGCTCGAGCTTGTGCTCAGTGGGAGGGGCAGACAGCCCTGGGTGCATGAAATTAGACTGAAATAATAACCCTGCAATAAACGGGACAGAGACAGACTTTGTCCATGAAGACAGGGAAGGGAGTTGCAGGTGGAGACAGAGTGGAACTATAAAAACAATGGAACAGTCTAAAGAAGGACTCTCGCTTGGGTGTGGTGGCACACAGCTGGAGTCCCGGGACCCATGAGGCTTGACGGGAAAATCACTTGAATTCATGAGTCTAACATCAGCCTGAGCTACACAGCAAGACACTCATCTCAAAAAAGGGAAACGAAAAAATAAAAGGAAAAACAAAAAATGAAAAAGGTGTGGGGATATCAAGGAGCTTAACACATCAGATCATCTCTAGTATTTTCAGCTTTCCCCTGATTGTGGCTAACCTCAGCCAAGGACATTTCTGAAGATTAGCTCGGTGCAGTGAATTAGGAGCCCGAGGCCAGACTCAGCTACAGAGTGAATTTGAGACAAGCTTGGGCTATATGAGACCCTGTCTCGAAACAAAACAAGCCTGGTGTGGTGGCACAATCCTCATGTCTATGTAGCAAGTTCCAAGCCTGCCAGGGCTACATAGTGAGAACCCTGTCTCAAAACAAAATAAATTCAACAAAATCAAAACCGAACTTAAAAAACCTTTCCTAACATTAGTGGAGACCCCAGACCACATTGCAGGTCAACAACCATGTCAGACTATTTCCTTTGAAAAGATACTAAACAAAACATACTTCAGGTTTTTCTTAGGGTCTCTCTTAGGTGCAGACTGTACCCTAGAGGTACAATGGGGTTCCAAGTCCCACAACAAGGTCCTGAGAGAGAATCTTGTTGAGGGCATCTATCTGAGGTGGTTCTTGGAGGGGCTGAGCATCAAAAGGAGCCAGCCAACCTGAGGCTTAGGATATAAACAGCTCACGTGGTTCAATGGTTGATCCTCAGAACCACAAAAAAAAAATAATAAAATAAATCGATGTTAAACAACAAAGGAGACTTTTATGCGTTTGTTTGGTTTCTGAGACAAGTTCTCACTCTGTAGCCCCCATTCATCCTGGAACTCACTGTGTAGATCAGGCTGGCCTCAGAATCACTATTATAAAACAAAATGAGGTGAGGAGGTACCTGGTGGGCCCATGCCAAGGTGTCCCCTAAGAAGTCACACCATGCAACAGATCTGGAATAAAGGAGGTTTATTTGAGGGAAGGGAGTGAGGGGCTGGAGATGGGATAGAGGCAGACAGACAGGAGCAGAGCCATGAGGCAGAGAAGGACAGAAAATGGGAGAGACCAGCCAGGTATGCATGAGAACAGAGAGAGAACAGGCGTGATGAGCAGCCTTATTATACGCTGCCCGCATCTGGGGGTGACT